AAAAATGTTAGATTATGTTAGATTATACCTAATGAGCATTCGCTGATTTTATTGAATGTGATTATATCATCGTCAAATAGGCGATTGCGGGGTTTGTTGGCTTTATGAATTGGAGCCATTTATTCTATCCATTGATTCGATTTGAATATTATGCCCCATGTGTGCGTCTCGAAGAATTGTTATAGAATTGTTAAGAATTTTAACCATTGTAGAAGACTAAGTAGTCAATATGAGTTTTTTAAAATATCTGAAAGCATATCTGAAATATCTGAAATATCTTAGCTTTTATCAAGTCATGTAGATTCTGTTAAACTATAATTAATTTTATTAAGTCTTGAACATTTCAAAGGTGCTTTATAATTGCCAGGTGCAAATTACTACATAAAAATATCATGAGTTTCTTTACAAAAATTATATTGAATTATCTATTACATTTTCACAATAATCTGGAAGATACACAGCTTAACTTTCCTCTCGAGTCATAATCTTTCTGCACAGCAGTTTCAAAATAAGCTATCACATATTAAATCCAATCCGTATTTATCACTATATATTTAACCGATGTCCAACAGTTGCAAACACATTCAAATATATTCCATACCTTGCACTGCTCTACTGTTGGGTCACCTGCAAGCACTCGTAACTTAAAGTTCATTAAATGAAACGGTTGTAAGTATTGTATACCTCAGGACGGACTAGATTAACTAAACGCTGAAGATCTCTCAAACTAAGCAGATGATTGTAGCAAATATCTTCACTTGCATATGCAGTATTTTTTCGCCTGTTTATCATTAATGCATTGTGATACGTTTTCATAAGAACTGAGACAGCTTATATCCTCGACGTTCAATTCTACACTTCTCTTTCCAGGATTATATATCGCAGTAGCTTCGTAATTAGCTTTTTTTGGATATACAACAAAACGGATTCTATAAGTTGGGTTATACTGTATTCCATCATCTTCTTCCACCTTCAAGTGTGCCGTATTAATATCTTTTAATTTCAGTTCGCTGCATACCTTACTTAATGTCTTGTCTTTTAAGTAAGAATTCATTTGATCTATTATTTTTTGTGTTACATATTTTACAATTTTGTCTTTTTTGGATTGATTTTCATAATGTGTACAAGTGCACCAATGTTCTGGTATGCCAGCATCAGCACAACTACGATTTACCGGTACTTCACGAAAAATACTTTGACATTTTGCACAACCGTTTGCCATTGGTAAACTCAGACCCGGCTGACTTAATTCTAATATATGCTTCAGTGTCATATGTATGTCATAGGGTGTCGTTAGACGATTACGATTGATTTGTAGTGCTTTGACAAAATCCGGATATTGATTTTTAAACCACTTTGGTAAGGATATGTAAAACATAGGTAAACGTTCCTCTAAAAAACCACCAGCTAACGTTACTAAGGTGCCAAATCTACGTCCATGATCGCTGAAGAATATAACTATAGAATTTTCTAAGATGCCATTCGTTTTGAATATTTTTAAATATTCCAACATTTTGACATCCATTGTTGCGGATGTATCGTATCTATTATGGCTAAATGAATTTGTCCAAAATAAACCAAAGGTGGGTTCATTCTCAAAACGATTTGCCAATTGTAATGCATAATCGTAAATATATGTACCGTAATGCTTCCTCCCTAGACAATAAGGCAACCCATCCTTTTTTTGTACTTTTAAATTCTTCTCCAATGCTAACACCATTGGACGTATATAGTAGTCAGTTGGTGGTGTTTTAAAGCCTTTTTTTAAATAGTTAAATGTGCTTAAAGATACTACATCTTCAGCATATGCAGTTCTATAACCAAAGTTTTGGTAGTTTTGCCAGATGAAATAGCAGTTATCAAGTCCACCCACTGTTTTCGGTTTGCAGTCTCTGTAGGCTATAGTTTCATTATTACCATTTAGGAGGGCCATCAGGTTTGGAAATGTATTGTCTCCAACCTAGAAGTAAGGATAATAAATATTTTAATTAATTAATATGCTTTAATTTTATAAGGTGTTATAGGCATTAGTCTTATTTTTTCAATTCATCAATTTGTAATATAGTTTATGAAACTTCAAATCAAATTAAATGAATTTAGTGTTTTTATTATTAAAATTTGCAATCTAACTAAAATTAAATCTCAGATATAATTTTTTTTGTATATATAGTATACAGTAAATGAGAAATTATTACTAATGGAAAAATCATCTTCATGTAGTAAAGAGATATAAGTTGATAAAATTAAATAAAAATTCCTGAGCATACCCAAGCAATATTGGGCTGATGAACCCCATTGTCAAATACCTAGATTCAATTGGTCTAATTTAGACAAGAAACGTACTAGTCAGCTATTTCAACTAATTCGGAACGCACCACTATATCTGTGCTGACAAGTTACTGCGAAATAGAAAGGCATGCTATGAGACTGAATCTACCCTACAATGACTTTTGTCGAGGCTGTGGATCTGAAGATGAGGAGGAGATTTTGAGATTGTATGAAACTAAATAAAAATAACTTAAAATTCATTACAGGAGTTCTGACCAAGCATTATAGGTTGAATTATCACCTTGCATAATTTGGAACTTATTCTAGTGGAACTCATCGATTTTAAAGGAGAGGGGATGAAACTTCAATATATAGCATGGTATGCAGTTGATATCACATAAAGAAATAAAACTTAGTAAATCAAGTTTAATACTGCAATTTATCTACAAAATTGGTCTTAGAGAAATATCATCATCTTAATTCACGATGAGGACAGAAACGATCTCTAGGTTATAATACTATGTATTACAAAAGAGTAATAATAATTTTATATAAATGTGAAAAAATTTTAATGAATGTTTGTAATAATTTGATCTCATAATTAATTAATTAATTAATTAATTTTAATGTCCTCTTCTTACCTTATTATATCCTTGCATTTCAAACCAATTGTTTTCTTCTAAATATTGATGTGTCTGAGGCATTGTTCTGCGAAAATTCATGCGCGATAAACTATCTATTCCTATCAGGAAGACACTTGGCTTTCTTATAGATCCAGATGTTATCGTCTTGGTTTTATTTTTATATTGAATAAACGAGAAAGCATCTTTTTGTATTAAAGTAGATTTTTTTCTACATTCTACTATGATGAATTCAATATGCTCGGGTACGACAAAATTCTGAACAAAATTTTCACATGGCAATAATCTGACAATGGAAAAATAAACAGAGAGAGAGAGAGAGAGAGAGAGAGAATAGTTTAAATAGAATAATATTTAGTAAAATAATTAGGAATAATTTCACAATTCTAATTATTTCGAAACTATATAACTTACTTAAACGCATTATCGGCCTTGCTGCCACTTCCGGAACGTACTATTTGACGATAACAGCAGCTCAACTGATTTTCAGCCTCAGAGTTATTCGCATTTTTGTGCTGTGATAAGAAGGTTTCGTTTTCGATGTGTAATAGATACTTTTCCTGATTCATGTCATATAAAACACTAACAAGTGGTTTATCATTGGTACAGGGTTTATATTTTTGTGGTTTAAATATTTTTTTTATTTCCGCACTAAATGGATCTGCGTAAGGCATATGACAATGTGTCGTATTTACGAAATATTTGCTATTCCTAACTATTAGTGGTTCTATAGATACGTTTTGTAAATCATATTCATGTGATGTCACATTAGTTTTGTTTTCTTTGAATATTTCACTAGTCGAATATAAATATTCACAATTTCGATATAAAAGCAACACACAAAAAATTAAGGCACAGAGCACTACTCCGACCAAAGGATTGACACTTTTAGATTGACTCAAATCTTCGTTTGGATCTCTGATTAAAGTATATTTTGGTTTCGACATTATTAATAACTTTTAAAAATTGAGAGAAAAATATTTCAATAAAGTATCACTATCGTTATTAAATCAACAGAACCAAAATACTATTAATTGATGAGTGAAATAGATGAGCTATTAAAATGCTGATCCAAATATATAGATCAAATTTATTATATGCAATATTTTTATCATTTTTTTTTATTTAATGTTGTTAATGTTGTTTCTTGAAGTTTCCGTTCATTACTAAACAATACTATAAAATTTTATTTTATCGAAATTCTAAATACTTTGCTATGTTCTTGGATTTCTGCTCTCCAAAGAGCATTGCACAGCAATACCAAATGTTTTATCGCTACTTAAACTATAATTACATTATGTGAGTATAGAGATATGAACCAATGTGTACATTCATCTATGTTGTTTTTTAATTAAACTGTGTTCTTAATATACATTAATTAAAAAATTTTAAGATAAGTATTTGAATTATTCGGAATATCTATTTATAAGCCAAACCATTGTATTTATTTCTAATTATTGATTTAGTCACGTTCTGCAAAATACCGGCAATAAGTCAACAACAAGAATCTGATACGTACCCATAGAGTTCAATAATTAATTGGGTATATCGTCACTTTTCTTCACAATAATTTTAGTTCAAATTGTGGTGGTAATAAGAGATAGCATTCCACATAGCGATAATCACTATTGGCAGATAGATTTTGATACAATTTGTTGTTTTCCATTCCATTATTTATAATTCAAAATTTGATTCAATTTTTAATTCAAAAAACTAATAACTAATATGCAACAAAAACGATATTGTCTTGTGTTCTGTAGTTTTATTTAGTAGTAGTTATTCAATTAGTTATTTATGTTTTTTTATATATTTCTATGTATATATATGAGATTAGTTAAGAACTGACTACATGCGAGAGAGAAGTGAAGAGGTTTACTTTCCATAAGAAATATGAATTCTAATAAGTATAACAAGAAATGTTCGATTTTTATTATTAAATCAACTCTGGCTCAATTCGAAGTGTATTTCTTGCAGTTTGGTTATGATAGCCAACGATTTGTAACATGACGCATTGTCTTGGTGAAAGAGGGTTTTTTCTTTTTCATGTGGTGCTCTTGTTTCGGAATTTGCTCCTTGAAACGCTTCAGTTGGGCCATGTAAGTAACGCTATTTATATTTTGACCTAGATTGTTTCAAAATAACTGATTAATAAAAATCTACACTTCTCTCAAAATACAAAGGCCAAAACCAAGCTAGATACCTGTTGTCCTCTCAACTGACTACTAATTCGACACTGGAGTGAAATAGTATATTTAATTTACATCCATTGTTACCTACCAATGCAAAACGTTTTTTTTTAATTGTTTCAAGAGTTAAATAAAATATCATACTTCTTTATTATAAGAGTTCCAAACAACTCTCTTTCTTTGTTTTTGATAAACTGTCAGCAAATGCTGTATCTACTCTTAAATAAGCTCAGAGACAAAAGGTTATGAAAAATGATGTCAACACTTTCCTTTGAAATCTAAGATTAAGATAAGTTTGGGCAGACGGGTTGCACGGGGGAGACAACGCTCTTCTTATAAGGTAACAGGTGGAGGCCTATTGAGAACTTTGTTGGGAGTTAACCCAAATATCGAAGAAGACATAGCATCTGTGTGGAATGCTATAAGTTCACATTTGTATACGACCTCACTGATGTTAGTTCCATTGCAATATTCGTCGATATGATTATGGAAGGAGGCAAGAGATCGACATATGCATCTCGGAGGAAGGGCTTTACTAGCCATGGCACCATTGGAACCATTTTTCTATTATTTGTCTCGATGAAATAGAATTCAGGTAGCACTTATCAAGCCAAGTTTTTGCTGTCACGGTATTTTTTCCAATCAAAAAGGATAAAAAATAATAAATCGATTTTATTATCGATTTTGACTGTATCGATAATTGTTTGAATATACATAGAACCCATTTAACATTTGTAACTAAGTCTTGAAACTGACTAGAGTATGAGTTAATTCTGCCATGTTGATGACTTAAGTATGGTTTAAGTCCGTATTGAGGCTTAAGTTAAGTCAGTATTTTTATGTTAATTATAAAAATATTAACCGATTAATTGACTTTCGCATTGTTCAGAGTATATGAAATCCAGAATTACTCAGTCAATTTAATCATAAAAATTCCTTTCGGAATTTCTTCTTAAAACCATTGAATTATTTCAATTGTTACGATTTTGTGGTTCCAAAATGAAATATTTATTCGCTTTAAAAATGGCTTTTTTTTGCAATTATTTTGCTTTATTTCTTACTTTTTTTTATATCTTGTGGTGTTTTTATATGTTTTTAATTTACATAAAGTGCGTAGCCTGTTTTTTATTTTTTTATTTTTTCTGCAACTTGCGTGGAAATGCGTCATGCCATCTGAACTGAAACTTCCTCATCGTCAGTGGCAACTGCTAAAAGTGCATAAAGCCTTCACGAATTTTACACGCCATAAAATTTCACTTTTCAACACACACACACACACACACGCACAACCAATTCAAAAGGAAAAAAAAATTAAAAGAAAGGGGAAATAGACTACCAAAGCAAAAAAATGGCAACCGCGCTCGTTACGACTGCAGGTGCAGCTCTCAAGCCACACTTTAAATAAGTTTTACATGGAGCTTGCATGCGGGCTACAGCTTGCTAGCAAGCACACCACTTGCACTTTAAATCAAGTGTAAGGGGATCTTTTTGTAAAGCTGTACTTGTGGTTGTTGTAATTGTCGGTTGGTTTTCGTTTCATTCCCGCATATTTGTTGCATGCAATATTTTTAATGAAACACATTACACACAAATACACAAAAGTACCATTCACACACACACACACAAACATACGTACACGCAAGCACACAATTTTTCCACTGTTGATATGCTTAATGTACGTAGTTCTCAGTCTCTGCTTTTGTATGAATGTATCTTTATTTGTGTTTGTGTGTTTGTGCGAGTGAGTTGGTATCACTTCACTTTGCCAAATAAGTGAATTTTTATTGCGTGTAAAATACACGAAGCTTTTAAGCAATTTACGTTAAAGACCAGCGCAAACGAATGTGACTCGCTCGTTTCATTTGAATCCTTCGATTTAATTTATTATTTGCGTATTTAAATTATTTTAATCCTTTTAAACATATTCTCAGAATTAATATTTTTCCTTTTTTTTTGTTTTTTGCTATTGGCATTTTCATTCAATTTTATTTCTTTGTCACATTATTTTGGTAATTTCCCTTCAATTATCTTTCGTTTGTTTACAGATTTTTATTATTCATTTAATTAATTTTTCTGATAATTATTTTAATTAATTGTGATTTTTTTTAAATGAAAATGATTTTTGAGTATTTTATTTTATTTTTTTTCTTCTATTTTAATAAATAAATTTTTAATATCTTTTAGAAGAAATAGAAGAAAAAAATTAAAATAAAATACTCAAAAATCATTATCATTTTATAAAAATTACAATTAATTGAAATAATTAACAGAAAAATTAATTAAAATTAATTAAAATTAATTAAATTAAATTAATTAAAAATCTGTAAATGATGCGCCCTCTATCTGTAAATGATGCGCCCTCTATTAAAAAAAATGCTAACTTCAGAATTTTAATAATCATCTTGTTTTCTTTCATGGGATCAAAAATATTCAGAAAAAAAATACCTCCTAACACGCATAAAATGCATGATATCAAATAAAATTGTTACCTCCAAGGGTTTGTTTTCTATTTTACGCCAAGCAAAGCATATTCCTGTATCGAGAACTGAATAGCTGATCTCCATTAAGACCCCATTATGGCTCCATTAATTATTACTATTAGACTTAGATTATAAATTTTGATTTCTGGTTGTTTCTATGATGTGACTAAGAAGAATAAAAAAGATGTTGAGATAAGCCGACATCAATAAGTGAGTTATTAGTACTTACTTATAAAACACGGAGGTACGAGCAAGCATTAGCTTAGTAATAGTAAGGTAAGGTATAAAGTCTATATGTTTACATCTCTCTTCCCTGATTACTGGAATGAAGTTTCCTCAATGCTATGGAAATCTTCTTCATTCATTTCTAAGAGGAGGTTTTAGTGGGTTCAAGTCTCAAGTCCCAAAAGCAGTAGGTTAGTTACAAGATATTATATAACTAATACTCAAATTCTTTCTTATACGTCTAAAATCTGAAGCCCTTCAACCTCTTTGCAGGCTCTTGACGGTCCACAAGACTTACAGATAGCCCTTTGAGATGATTACTTATCGATTCTACATATAATTTTTCCCATATCTATGATTTATCTTTTTTAAACAAGGTCTTGAAAAATGGGATAATTTGATACAAACATGATACATTATGGAACATTAACGGTAGTAAGAGACAGTACATAGAGTATTAATAATACAATGTATTATATAGTATACTATATAATATATATAGACAACACTCAAGAGTTTTAGACTGGTATCCCCTCAGTATATCTATATTGAAGATATATGCTGTGCTGCAAAATTGTACGGCAAATACTCAAACTAATTTCAGAATAACTTTGAACAGCAGAATTTTACTATGCAAAGTTTAACTGAGGACTTAACGAAACTAACCATTACATTGTTCTTGTGTTTTTGAGGATGAAATACAAATTTCTAATATATATATGAGTTATTTAAATGAGCTCATAATCCGCATGTGACCCTAATTTTACTGACTTTCGCTTAGGA